CGACAACTACTTCGTTAGTAGTAGTACCGTACCGTATTAGTGTACACTTTATTTACTTAGTTAGTTAGTTACGCGCTTCTTACACTACTCTCTACTACTCTCTCTCTCTCTCTCTCTCTCTCTCTTTTAGAGCATCCAGGGCTTTTTCGGTCTGAAAGAAGGGAACCCAAATGAGTGGATACAGGTCGTTTTTGGCATGAAACAATGGAAACCCCAAGAGAAAATTTGGAAGATAAATCAAGATATTTGTGGATTTCATTCTAAACTGCCATATTCCTTTGCAATTTATAGTGTACGTGTTAATTAACGAAATTATGGCGGCCATGAGTTAAGAGTTTTGAATTTTGATGTCATAGTATTTCTATCAAATATACTGAAAAAAAGGCATTAAATTTAGTTAACAGAAAAATGTTAGATCTATTTTTATCTTTGTTTTTGCTCTTTTTATTTTCCTGTTTTTTTTTGTTGGAGTATTGAGAATTTTTGCATTGGATTTTACACATTTTTGAAATTTGCCTTATTGTGCCCTCAAAGTGTTCAATAAAATTTTCAGTAGAGGTTCTAGATCTTATCAAGGTAAAGATGGAGCTAAATATGTACTGGCCATGCTAAACATGCAGAAAGTAAGCGAAAAGGAAGAAAACTTACCAATTTTGCAAAAGAACCGAGAGTATGATTCACGATTGGTAGAGTTGGAATGGCTTGAACAAGCATTCCCTCTCATCACTTGATTATTCAAGTAAGTCACCACCTCTGATAATGAAAATAAATATTCTTCCTTATTGATTAGGGAGTTCCATGAATGGAGTTTGGGCTCCAAATCATACTGCTGTGTATACCAATTCGAGGTCGAGAAAAACATATTATTGGATCCCATTCGTTTTTTTTTCTTTTGGTCAAAATTTACCCTGCACATTATTATGTCACTCACAAAGCATCAATTGGCATCAAACATGAAGGGGCTGCTCATGCAACAACAACCATCATAGCCATGTTACCAACGCCCATGAAGTGTGATAGTTTCAACTGCAATTCCCTAAGAATGGTATTTCCTCCGAACCATGCTTCACTGGTGTCATACACTTTCTCACATGATTCAAGTAATTTTCTTTGTTGTTAGATTTTTGTTTGCTTTGAAAGCATCCAGTTGATATGAGTTTAGAGTCACAACATGAAGTTATTGGAGTTATTGTTTTATGCAAATATTCGAGTCTCCAACTTAAATTTTTTTTGTTGCATAGATTTATGTCTCTAAAGATATTGATACTCTCTCTCTCTCTCGGAACACGGATAAGAATTTGAAAATCATGTGTAATGCAAGCTTAAAAGTTTTTAGCTGTATATTATTACCTACCTGCAGGCGAACATTGAAGATGGAAATATCAACGAGCTCAATAGTTTATGGCAGTCAATGTGCTGAATAGTATTATGGCATTTAGAGTTTTGAATTCAAGATTGTATCAATTGTGAAAGGTTCTTTGAGCTTTCATTTATCAAAACCATTTGGAGGAGCAAAGTTATCAGCTATGTTCAAATAGTGCAAAGCTCAAGAAAGATAAGCACTTGACATCCGAAAAGAGCTATATGTATTTTTTTTTTTGTATAGAAGAATAAAAGTCTTCTAATGGAGAGAGATACATGTAACTGTTATACGTCATTTTTTATGTACTTGTATCCCGGGGGCGAATAAAGAGAGAGCCGGTAGTAACCTGGTCCCGCCGGTGCCCAAGGCACCGCTTGACGACGATAAGACTGTAGCAATAAGCCTAAAACTGGGCGACCTATGAAGAAGTGTCAGCATGGCCTCAAATTACCTGAGATGGTAGTTTTAGTTACCCTAAGGACATCCACAAAGTTTTGTCGCGTTCTGACGAATTTTGGTATGATCAGAGCGAAACTTGGTTTTCAAATCCAGTTCCTTTCATGCTGAAAATGAACCCTATAACTATAGCTCCATTTTTTTATTCTCAAAACAGTATCAGACCACGCCATTGGATCTGGAATGTCGAAAAACCCTCACGTGCCAAATTTCGGCTCAATCGGACTATTTGGGATCATTCTGGGCTTAACTTATCATAAACTCTGTTTTCTCATTTCGGGATGATTTTCATATGCTCATAACTCACTCTTTTAAGTTCAATTAAGTTCAAATTCGGATACAAGTTAAATATCGACTACTTGCTCGTTTTGACATATAGCACGTGTCATGGCGTAGCTCGACACGAGAGAATTTCTAGAAAGAAAATAGGCTTGAAACATGAAAATTTAGATTTTATAAAGAAGAACATCCAATTCTTTGAGAGGCCAAAGTTCAAGATCCCTATGTTGGATCATCGTAAGCATAGGTCCATTACGACAATGCTTCGAAGTGCTATAGTTTGGTATAATTTTTATATATGATCTGAGTCCGGATAACACTAATTTTGAGGTTGAAAATGACATTTTTCCGGTCGCATGAATCCCATTTTTCCGCAACTTCCCGAAATTGGAATGTGCATAAACGGAGAGCAAAATGGATGAAATTTATTGTCAAATGATCATGATAGTATCCCCTTTGATTTGTGATCAAAATGAAGGCTTGAAACATCATAGATCGTGCCTGATTAATGGTCGAATAATCACAAGTTTATGAAACTTGACCGGATTTTGGTTTTTCCTAAAAAATCAGTTTCAAGAGGATCAAAGAGTATCAAAACGTGCTCAAAAGTTCAAGCATCAATTCTACGATAATTGATCGCCCGAATTACCATTGTAAGCGTCTAAAAAATCTCTCGAACCCTAGCAATGGCAAGAGGCCCCTCATGGCCGGTTTTGTCATTTGTTGAAAAGTACATAGTGGTATTTTGGTCTTTTGATCAAAAAACGGGATTAATATTTTAATTCATAAAATGTGTATTTTTTTACAATTTTGAGTGTTTATTAGCATTCCACCATTGTCTAGAGGTTGCTATATCTAAGGAAGTTAAGTCATTTATAATTGAGCTCTTCAACTCTCTTGAATTCTTAGTCATTTGCAATCAAGTTCTTATCTTGTTTTTTTACTTTGCTTAAAAGTTAGAGACCAAAATAGAAGTAGAGAGAAATATTTTCTAGAGAGATAAAATACCCCTAGAGCACCATACACCTTAGCTTATCCCCTACACCTTACCCTACACAATACACCATAGATCACCATACACCTTAGCCTATCCCTTCCGTTATACACCATAGTGCACCATGCACCTTAGCTTATCCCCTACACCTTAGAACTCCCAACTCCCTACCCTACTCCATACACCTTACATCCTATACCATACACCATAGTTCACAGTGAACCTTAGCCTACCCTATACTCCTTAGTTCAGTACACCACACTTCAAACCAACTTACCTAACCATATACGTAGACCCTTAGACTGTAGTCTTGAACCATCAAGCCTAAATATATCTCTTATATTCATACAAAGGGACTAATGAAGTTGCACCTAAGCTCAAGCACATTCTAGGTCCACTCTCTCTCTTCTTTCTTTCTCTCTTATTCTTTCTTCTTTCTCTTCTTTTCTCTTGTCTCTATCTTCCTCTTTCTCTCTCTTTTTTTGTTTCCTCTTCCTTCTTTTTATCTCTGTCCCTTCTCTCTCTCCTTCTCTCTCTCTCCCTCTCTCTCTCTTTGCTCGAACCCAGGGCAAGTTTGAGCCCTCACCTCCTTGCTCTCTCTTTCTCTCTCTCTTTCCCTCTCTCTCTTGCTGTCTAAAGCTCAAACCCACACCTAGGGTGGGCCCAGATCCTCCTCCACCCTCTTACTCTTCCTACCCTTATCATACGCTCCCATCCACCCCTCTCTATTCTTTACTCCCAACTTCCTTACCCTTATCGTACACTCCCATCCGCCCCTCTCTATCTTACTCTCCTATCCACCCTACTCTTTACCTCACACCTCGCATCCGCCCCTCTCTACCTTGCACCTCCCATCCGCCCAACTCTCACACCTCCCATCCACCCTACTCTCACACACACTCAACCGCCCTTCTCTATCTCACTCTCCTATCCGCCCCACTCTTTGCTCCACACCTCTATCCTCTCTACTCTCTCGCACACCCTTATCTACCTCTTTCTCTCACATATCCCTATTCGCCTTCTCTCTCACAGACCTCTATCTGCCCTATTCTTTCTCACACACACCTACCCACCTCTTTCTCTCACATCTCTATCCGCTCCCCTATCTCACACACCTCTATCTGCCCCACATTCCATTTACTACTCTAATACCCCTGCATTCTCATATTAGCCCTATCCACCCTTCATTCTTTCACATCCTTTATTCTCTCATCTCCCCCTTTGAGTCCAGACCCGCACCATAGGTGGGTCTATCAGCCCTTGATCCTATTTATCTCACTTTCTCTCATTTTAAACACGCTCTCCTCTCTCTAACTCTCTCCCCTCTCTAACTCACGCTTTAATTTATCACCCATTTTACTTTGTTTTAATTTCATCTTCTCTTTACTTCTCTTTTTGCTTGTCGTTGCTTTTGCTTCTTAAGCACCTGACTTGGGGTTGTCCTGAGATAGTGCCCTAGGGTTCTAACTCTCGGATTGCCACTCTGACCATCTGTCCGTATAGTGAAGCCGGGTAATAAGAGATGCTGATTCGCTTACACTCAGTCACTCGGGTTGGGGTCATCCTGAGTTAGCTTTCTTTAGAGTTTTGATCCTTTCACTACTCTAACCGCCAAGTCACATGTTATTTGAGCTATGTGAGACTTTCATCTCTTTCTCTCTCTTTCTCTTTCACTTTCTTCTCACACTTGATCACTTTCAGGGGGCTCTTTGGTTTAGTGATATAGTTATAGGCTCAATCCTGTAACTCCACTTTTCAAATCCTCTCGGGACTAAGGCTTCGTTTCTAGAACTTTTCCTTGTCTCCAGTAATACCTCTTGGGAGAGGTTACGCCGGGAGGCTACCCAATTTTCTTTGGGTCATCTCTTGGCTTCTTTTACTTCTTTTATCATCATCTTCTTCTTCTTCTTCTCTCTTCTACACCAAGCTCTCATTCACTCATTCTTATTCTCTTCTCTCTTCCCTCTCTTTCTTATCTCTTTAACCACTCTACTCCCAAAACTAGAACTATTAACTCATAAACACATCAAAGAGGAGTATATTATATTTAGATTTCGTTAATAGTTTTCAAGAAGGAGTCTAAGTAAAGTGTTGAATTTCGAGAGGGGGCCGCATTCAAACCGTGATGCTGGACAACCGGAGGGCTTTCGTTCATTAATCTAAGAGGGAAATAGCAGCTTATCCTACGAACTTAAATGGTGAGGTAGGTGCTCAAATCCATATTTTCATCGCTTTAAAATCATCTCATAATTGGACACACCAGTCACACATGCGCTCATGAGGTTAAGGCAGTTGTTCGAGAGGAGGAACCCAAGTCTTCGAAGGAGCCCAAGTGAGGTAGATCCAGGCCCAACCAATAACTTGTTGGATGAACTAGTCGATTGTGAATCTCTAGAAGGTGATAATGGGTACTTCTACATGTAATGCAATTGCTCAAATTGTGATAATGGGTACTTCTACATGTAATGCAATTGCTCAATATTATACGAGCAGTAGTAATGGCAATCTCTAAATTATGTCTTTTTATAACTGCATAGCAATGATTTGGCTATCTGACTCTCTCTCCCGCTTCCCTCCTTCCCTCCCCCACACCCATAGAAACACACACAAATTGCAAATCTTGAAATATGTGAATATTTTTGTCTTTTAATACGACTTGACTCTACTGGAAATTTTATTGAGCACTTTGTGAGCATCTTGAAAGGATAGACATTCCGCAAACATGTTAACAATCCATAGACGGGAAAAGAATCAACCCTTCATACTAATAATCAAACTAATAGAAACAAAATTCTACAAGTCGAGTTTTTGGAAAGACCACAATAGGAAAGTGTATATTGTATGTAACAAGATAGAAAAAGATATATTATACCATTATATCATCATTATATATAGGACAAGTTTTTTATACTTTCCCTCAAGGGTTTAAAAAGTGGATCGGTGACCCGGATCGGGCACTTCAAAAACCGATCTGGATCGACGAATCAGGGATCCGGATCAGGAATCGTTTGAATCGGTCGGATTAAAGCTTCAAACAAATTGGAAAAAAGTTATTAAAATTTATTATAAATGTAGTTTTTTAGGAATCCAATAAGAAATGAGGGTACTACATTATTAACTTTTATTGTTTTCATCAATTTGTGAATATTGAGATGTTCTTCCCTATATAAATTTAAGTATTAAATTTGCATCACATAAAAAAAAAATCATAGAATTATCATGGATAAAATATATAATTATATATGGACTATAATAAAGAGTAGACTAAATCAATGAAAGAATAGCCATTAAAATCTTGTTTTGACAAAAAATCCTAATCTACTAAAAAAACCCAAATTATTACAGCCTAACTAACTATAATCCAAAATTATTACAATCTAACTAATTATAATATTATATACTTAAATTATAATTATTAGCTTACATTTTATAATTATTTTATTAGACAAAGAATAACAAACTAAAAATATTTTATAATATTATCTAATTTAAAATGTATTATTGATAACTGTAAGAAAAATAGTATATTACATGATTTATAATGTAAAAAAT